GTGGTTACCCCAAAAGCCGCAGATGAGGGAGAGGGTGGCCCTTAGTCCTGGGCTTGCAGGCATCGAGGATGTTGTGCAAAATTTAACACTTCCTCAAACATCGCAAAGTACCTGCAGCAAGGCTCATCTCTTTTCAAGTTCTATTTCAGGGAAGAATACTTTTTTAGGTTGAATAATGATTCACAGAAATTTTAATTAAACACAAAAGTGGATAAACAAAATGCTGGCACGTCAAACGTTTCGTTGTTTATTTCGTCTTTTCTTTGCATCTTATAAAGATTATTAAAAGTCACATCCCCCAAACCATGTATAGTAAAATGGTATTTGTGCTTTTCTGAAAAAAAGGGGGGCCTATTATAAGATGTACTTTGGAAGTCCTTTGGAGGGAAACGGGGGTATAAAAGAGGTTGGAAGTAATGCATTTGGGTTGATGATAAACCTCGTGGCAAATTTGTTTCCTGCCAGCTTGGCTTCTGATTATTTGCATTTCTGTCCAGTGTACAAAGCTAGTGGCCACTTTCAGGAAGGACACGTCAGACCAAGTAGATACTGAGAAACTTGTGGCCTGCTGTATCTGGATGTTAAAATTAGCCAGAAAAAAGTGAGCAGGAGCGATAGACAAAGACTCTACTGCTTGCTGTTCCTACTGATCATTTGACATTCTGTAGGTGTGCATTTAGCTTTTGAAGTTCAGTAACAGCATGTTACATGCCAGTATTCAATGGAAAAAGCAATGCTTCACAATGATAAATCCCCCGAGTTAACTGGAATGTTGTTATGACTTAGGATGGGGGTGGCCATGAAAAGTGAGAAAAACTGCCTCCTTAAACATTTATACTTCTTTCTTACTGGAAGTTAACTACTTTGGATTTTGTTTTTAGAAAACCAGTCTTGCTCTTTTTAAATATAGATAGATAGATGTGCTGTATAATTTACATATTTACAGTGTGCAACAAAAATCATAGTATTTCCAAGTTTTACTTGCCTGGGAAGACATCTTCAAATGTGTCATCCAGTAGAGTGTTCACTGATATTACATATATTTCCCATAGAAACAAATCCACTCCAAAGCTGCTTATGGAGCACTCACACTCAAAAAAAAAAAAGAACCACTAATACTAGATTTACCTTTAAAAGCAAACCTTTCCAAATTTTAGATACTTGCTACAATTTGTAGGCTTATCTAGAATTAAAAATACAAGGAATTTTATTCATAAAATTGAATATTATGGAACCATTAAGGCTACATTTTCAAATAACTTTTGGTAACCTGAAAAGCTTCATGACTGATGTATACTATTTTCTTTTAAGAAAAGGTGAAGAGGAGAAGAAAAGAGTGGAAGAAGACCAATGTTTATATGTTTACAAAAGACTAGAAGGAAAATACAGGACAATTTTTTGTTTTTTATTAGATGCAAGGGGTTGCTTTGGGGATTCCATTTATAAATCTTAGTGACTACAGTTGTTAAATTAAGAACTCAAATTTCTAAAATTAATTTTCAGAATGAAATTTATCTTTCACATATGGTTTTCCCAATATGTTCAAATCAATGTCATTGTAACATCATTAAAATTAGTAAACAAACCTCTCACTAGAATAGCATTTTAAGTAATGTATAGAAAACATATAATTCAAAACCCCTCTTCTAATTGTCCCTCCTCCCCTTTACTTAATCTGGTCAGGATTATTTCTATGAAGTAGGTTGCTGACTTAAGGTAAGTACATATTATATACATTGACTTGACAGAAATTCATCTGTAATTTGTCTCTTTTCAGTGACCATAAATACCATAATACAAAAGTATAAGCCTTACTTTCTAGGAACTTCATTGAAACTTGGAAGCAAGTGTGACCTCAGTGCATGCAGTGGTTCTGAAGGTGTTAAGTGCTATAAAATATATTAGAGTATAAAGGTATCTCAAGTTTGTTGGCTAAAATTACAGGATGCTCTTACAAGAGAGCAGAAATGAACTGTTTAGTTTCCATCAAGTCACTTGAAACCTGTTCAAGGGAGACTACTTTCAAAGCCCCCTAGGAAAATTATCCAGTGGTCTGGGATTGTATGCTTGCATATTTCCTTCTCATTGAGTCTAGCCGGTCCTCTTTGTGTATATGAGAACCTGGACAAACTAGGCTATAAACTGCCATTAGAGAAAGGAAAATCTAATTATTTGAAATGTAGGAAGTTGATAACTCTGAGGGGCTATGGTGAAGTATCTAGTACGGTTTAGTGCAAGGATGGAGGGAAAGGAATTTGGGAACATAAACAGGAAAAAAGCCTTTATTTTCAGTAACCCCCAACTGAAATTTAGTATTTCCTTCTATTATAAACATCAGCAACAAACCACACTAGCGTCAACAGGACTTGATTATATTTATCTCCAAAAGAATTACATGTATTTTCATGCTGTGTTATTATTGCAGGTATCCTGAAGCATCATTTACACTCATCATTATCTTAAGTATCAATAGTTTTCAGATCACTGATAGATCATGCAGTTTTAACGTGTTAATACAAAAGCACATGTATTATTATATATTATAATATTTTTATAAGTATAATATTTTTATATAATATTTTGATCATTGCATTTCAAATAAATGGTTTCCTGTTATAATTCTATGTATTTTATTTTATGCATTCAGTAACTATTCTAAGACATCTGGAAGCTTCACCGACTGCCAAAGAGGTCCAAAGCTTTTTAGAAGCCCTGATTTTTAGTGATTTTCTAAAGATGTCCTGACATTCTGTGTTAGAGTATTATAGAATATCAATACAGTATTATAGAATATCATGTCTTTTTCTTTCTTAGTTTCCAAGCCAGCACCTTACTGGGAAGGAACAGCTGTGATAAATGGAGAATTTAAGGAGCTCAAGTTAACTGATTATCGTGGGAAATACTTGGTTTTCTTCTTCTACCCACTTGATTTGTAAGTAATGCTTGTAGACAACAGCTAGTAAAACCACTGTGTTTATCAACCATTATTCAAGAACATCGGATAGTTAGATATTAGTTTATTCAGCTCTTGGTTCTTAAAAAGGCAAACTGAGATGGGCAATTTTTTCATGTATATATTTCTCAGTCATAACGCACTGATCTCAATACTTTTACACTTATATCTAAATGATTATTTTGTAATGGAATAATTAGAGGAAAGTTATACCTAGTAAGGCAAGAAAATTGATTAATAATATTTTAGGAAGCATTTAATAGACGTGTCGTAATTCTGTTTACTATATCTCTGTTAGCGACATAATTAATCCCTTTTCTGTAGTGGTACCGTGTAACTACAGTTTTTGCCATTTTTTTCTTTATCGCATCTGTTGCTTTCCTGAGATTTGAACATTTTCCAGATAATATTTTATACTGCTTAAAGAATACTACATATTATTAATAATTACTGTAAAATGTGGTTATTGTGCTTTTTTTTTTCCCTTTAATTCTGTGACTGAGCAGTTTTGCCCATGGTCAGAGAGTTGACTCAAAGTATATTCTTACAATTTTATTCACACCAATGATTTTAGTTTTGTTTTGAAATCCACTATTTTGAGTGTTTTTCAAATCCCATGAAAGTGAAAAGAGATCAAAAAGAAAGTTAATGCCAACTTTTATCTTTTTTTCTCTTTTTATATTCATTTTTTGATCCTGAAAGGCAATTAGAGAGTCTTCTATCTTGGCCACTATGCCTTTTTCCATTGACGCTAATCTTTAACTATATAAACAAAAACTTGCAGCAAGGGTATACTTAAGTGCATTTCCATCAGTTGTCTCTAAGCCAGGAGTTGCAAAACTTTTTTTTTTTAAGGGTCTTGTGATCCCTATGCAGCTATTCACCTTGACCATTGTGATGCCAAAGCAGCTAGAGACAATATGTAAATCAGTTGGGACCAGCAGGTAGCGTGGTGGTTAAAGCACTGGACGCTCCCACATGGCCGACCATGGTTCAAGTCCTGGACCTTGCTAACTCACTCACTCACTCTCTCTCTCTCTGGTCAAATTTAAGTAAATTAACCCCACATGTGCCTCCTACCAGGTTAGCAGCCCTGATGGGAAGAGTAAAAAAAAAATAAATGAGTGTTGCCACATTCCACTGAAAGTCTATCTACAAACGTACATAGGCTGGATTTAGCCTGTGAACCAAAGTTTGTCCACCCCTGCTTTAAGCCAAATAGGAAGAATTCTCATAAAAATTAGTAAATGAAGACTAAAACAAGTTATGAAACTGAATAATTTTTTTTAAATTAATAAGAACTTGCATCTTTATAATCAACTTTTTTAAAGAACTATTTAATTTTATTTATTTATTTTAATTTCACCAGAGAGGGACAGAGTGAGAGTGCGAGAGGGAGAGAAAGCAAGCCACCAGGTCCAGAACTCAAACCATGGTTGACAATATGGGAGTCCAGTGCCCGGAGTCCAGTGTCGTAACCACTACACCACCTGCTAGCCCTACTCCTTTTACTGTGGCTTAATCAGCTAAAATGTATTCCATAATTTCTCATAGAAAGAGAAGTTGAAATCTTAATAGATATAAAAATGAGAGGCCTTCTCATTCATGTTGTTATAAAACTAGAAAGTTAACATGTATGTTAACTGGGGGCTGACAGGTGGCATGGTGGTTAAGGGTGCTGGACGCCTACATGGCCAACCGTGGTTCGAGTCCCAGACCTGGTGGTTTGCTTTTTCACTTTCTCTCTCTCTCACTCTCACTCTCACTCTCACTCTCACTCTCTCACTCTCTCACTTGCTCTTGCTCTCACTC